ACAAGCACAAAAAAAATAGCCAAAATAGTATTTCCACCCAATTTTCATTATCATCCTACAGCACCACATAAAACATTGAAATACTATCAATCCATCATTAGAACCAAGTCCATTTCAATCAAACTTCTCTACAACAAAACCCATGAAAACAAAATCCTCTACCATTCTCTTTACAGTGAAAAATTAAATTATCCTGCAAGGTTCCCTAAATGGTGGTCAATTCACGGCCCAACAGCCAGTCTTCTACCAAAAGAGCTTACACAGGTCCTCTCTGCCAGTTTCTAACTCAAATTTGATAGAAGCCAATTCAACTATAGAATTACACTTCTTCCAATTTTCATGGCCAAATACAAAGTTATATGGATCATGAAGTGGAATTATGAAGTCAAAACCGGTAAAGTCAATAGAATCAGATTAGTCAAGTGGTGAGATAAATTCATCCATCAATCAGGTCCTCACAGAATTTCCCATTACTACATCAATTCCGACACAACTAGCATAACCATCATTGCCAGCCATTCCGAACAGTCATTATCGGACATTAGTCCATCATCATCACTTAAAGGAACATCCAAGTCAACTAGCTCAAAAAACAAAGAAAAAGCCACCCAACTCACAGACCTAGCTCAACAATTACTTACAGAAGCAACAATGCTCCATACTGAAGTAGAAGAAGAAGAAGAAGCCCTCAGACTCCGAATCTTCAGACGTATCCTCATAGCAACCAGCCAACTCAACAAGCCAAAAAACACAGTCAGCCAAGTGGGCCGACTACCAGGACTCCAAAGACCTATTTGCATAAAGCCATGTGAAAACAGTTAATCACCATGTGAAAGTACAGTCATCATGTCAAGTCACTATGTGAACACTAGGATAATTACCATGTGGAAATTCAATCGTCTTTCCAAAGTCACCATGTGAAGCTTTCGGAGAAAGTTCCATCAATAATTCCAACAAAGCAATGAATCATTCAATCATCTGCAAATTCCACAATAAAAGCAATCAATCATCCTCTCTTTTCCAAGTTTATATGAAGGGGACTCAATTGAAGGAAACATTAAGTTAATTTCTACATCTTTTCTCAGTCAAAAATTTTCTTTGAGTTCATATTGTACCCAAAGAAATCAAAATTGTAAACACTTTTAAATTTTCAAAAGTCAAGGATACATGCGTGCACCAATATCCTTTTCACCATTCAATTTCTAATTTGCTAACACAATCGTCAGTAAATTAATTGTAAGTCCTAGTGTAAGTTTTGCAATAAAAATTATTTTCAAATTATATCATTATTTTGAATTCATTACTTTCATTATGAATATTTTCATAACAACTAATTTTGAATGACATAAAATTATTACTCACAATCAATTCATCGAATGCCTCAAGTTCAAGGTAAACACTTATCAATCATTTGTACAATTCTTTTTATTAATTTATAATAGCTAGTTTCATGGCATCTTTAATCCTGATTATCCTCCACATCAAATTTCCAATAGTTCAATTAACAGTTCATTCAATTCTGATCACCATTGTCCTTGGTGTAATTGTCCTCATCGTTATTATCATTAGGTTATTCCGTCACATTATATATATATATATATATATATATATATATCCAATACTCTATTCTTGACTAATTCTTTTCATTACCAATAAAAATGATATATACGGTAATGGTATAATATCTATGTGATATAATCAAGGTTTTAAACATCAGTTTAACGATAATATCGACGTACCATTTTGCAGAAATATTGACGGATAGTTCGAAAATATATTTTTACTAATAAGTTTATTAGTAGCCCATATAACCAAATACAAGTAAATTATCGTAATTAAAGCTGAATTTTGGATAAGAGACATGCAGTGCACTAGTAGTCACTAAACAAAATGAATTTCCAAACTACTCCAAAATCCAAAGCTCACTCTTTCAAATAAAAGGAAATAAAGACGCCAGGTTTGTACGACGTTGTGTCGAATTAAAACCCAAAACATGTCCATCTTCCTTTCACAAACACCTCAAACCAGATTTCAAATGAGATTGCGCCGCCCCAGACTGAAAATCAAATGTAATGATTCCAGTTTTTCCATTTTTCCGTGTTAATGAGTCATCATTTGATTTATTTTAGATAGAGAGAACAAAAAATTGAACAGTTTGGCCTGAAAGTGCCGGTGCAGCCTATAACTCGCCTTAAGTCGTCGTCAAGGTCAATATTGTGGGATTCTTTGTCAGTTTCGGCGATATTTTTACAATACCTGTTGATTTTACGAATATTTTACCAGTACTTCAACTAATTTTTTGTTATGGGGTGAAGAAATAGCTTCACCCTTATTTTATGTCGATGCCTCAAAAGCACGACATGTCGACCGAAATATCGGAGATAGTGTTGATTTTTTAAACCATGGACATAATTGCATTTTTTTTATCTTTAGAGTATTTAATAAGTAAAAGTAATTCTAGTGAAGTAACGTCACCAAGATTTTCTCTTGATTGCAAATGCAAGATCCTGCCTGGACTAATGACATGCCTGAACAAGATCAAGGATTATTGGCAATGACACTGACCCTTTCATCAAATACTTTCTTTAAGTTATTATATTTCTTTTCTTTGAAAATTATGCCATTGACATTGAAAGGTCTCCATCCTAGCCATTCATCTGAAGTCCTATTGAGTTATATAAAAGGAAACGGATTCTCTTCGGATTCAAAGGAATCGAGTTTAAGGATCAAATGATCCGGACTATTGAAATTTGATCTAATAGCTACAATTATTATAACTTTTAGAGGGCCCCCTGTTTGTAGCCGTTGGATCAAATTTCAATGGCCCGGATCATTTGATGAGTATGCTCAGTTCCTTTGGGTCCGGAGGGGATCCGGTTCCTATATAAAAATTGTGAAACATCAACAAAAGTTGAAAACCATCTCATAGTTGAGATATTTTTTTGTGTGCGGTATACTAAGTGTTATAATACAATTAGTTAAAAAAATATTTTTAAATTTTCAACCAATTGTATTGTTACATGTGGTGAACCAGATGTGTTCCTGGAACATTGAAACATCTCTCGCAGCTGAGAGAACATTTTTTTAGTTGAGACATCCCATGTTTAGTGATCACATGGTGGGGATATTTTTAATTGAAAGATATAAACATCATCGAGAGCGAGTGCCTTGATGCTTAAGCAAACCTTTTGCGTCCAATAATGCCCATTATCCATAATAACAAGTGATTAGCTAGGGGACCATTGTTAATTTAAACAAACCGACACTAGAATATATACAAATAATCTTTATGATTAAGATGAGAAAAGATTCTCATGCATGTTTCCCCCTGTTGACAAGTGCTTTTGTAACTTTAAACATCTCCTTGACAAACATTCACCTCCATGTAACACCAAATTATTATGGTCTAAATTCAAAGTTAACCTATTTTTAATTGGGAAAACTAATGAAAATGATTTGAAAACTTTGAGTTTTAATGAAAATGACAAAATAAAGGGTGAAGTGAATAGTACCATAATTGATTTTTTAGTGTAAAAATGTAATTTTTCGTTAAAGTAAACAGTATTGGAAGTTTTTCGTTAAAGTTCCCTTTTTAATTAAAATGGTTTGGGGCAGTTCCATATACTAGGTTAATTTGATGATATGATATGACGATCCTATATAAACTTTTCTCTATTTGCATGGTAACTCGGTACATATTTTAAACATTAAGAAGTTAGCAGCCAAGCGCTGCCGTATAAGTGTATAGGTTCAAAGGATTGTATGGTACACGTGCAAAAGGATAAAACAAACAGATACGTGGCTAGAGCATGTGAAAGAGAAAAGGAAATAATTTGGGGGGGGGGGGGGTGGTTGACGGGACAAGTATGAATATCTTTAATCATTAATTTGGCCTTAAGCATACTTTATGAACTACAACTTTAACGTTATGCTCTTCCTTTGGAGGTTACAAAACCAAGCATGGGAGATATCTTGGTCATGGCATGATGAGTTTGACATTTTGGAGAAATTTCCATTTGCTCAGTGGACCTATACTGCTTCCAAAAGGAAATTCCACAATTGAGGCTCTCTTTGGATGACCCGGTATTTGAAGCAAAGTATATATGAGTATGTTATTTTGCTCGGATACGGAGATTCAAACTTGAATGCAAGAGACGGAAACATTGACCTAATTACTTTTGTTTGATTTAATTGTGTCTGTTTTGATGCATGCTGAGAACTGAAATGGAGTGGGAAGGAAAATGGGGGCTTGAGAAAAGTTGGAAATAAAATTTGGTTGAAAATGGGGGGCCCAAATAGCCTTTGTTGCCATGCGGTGCCTAGAACAAACAAACAAACAAAGAAAGCAAGCAAGCATGGCCAACCAGAAAATCATGCTCTTGTCACACCAGCACAAGAAGATAGAGTGGCGAAATGACTTAACACAATTTCAAAAAGCTTTTTTGATTTAATATGTTATTGCCTTCAAACATCACCTCCCTTCTTTTGTCCCCTAGGGTTACCAATGAGGTTCACCAAACCACGCAGCACAAAAGGTTAACTGCAATGGGGACTCTCTCTCTCTCTCTCTCTCTCTCTCTCTCTCTCTCTCTAACACACACATACAATACAGAAAAAAGAGGGATATGAGCCAATAACCCCATTACCGATTCAGATAGATTGATCACATGACGAGAGAAATAGAGATAAAGACATATTACAACAATTACAGGGGAGAATCCCTTGCTCAACTTCCGTTATAGATGGTAGAGACAAACAATGAGTTTTCTCTGTACCCTAAATATCCCACGAACCCCTCATGGGGTTTCAGTTTATTAATCCATATGCAGGCTTCCAGCACACAAAATCTCTCCAACACACACATGCGCACCCACTTCGCATACTAAAAAAGGGATGGATGTGAGTATAGAATCGCATTAAGATTCAAGAATTAATCTCGATCGAGTTTAAACTATAGCAGCTATTCTTTTAACATAAATAATGGCAAGTAGAAACATGACTAAATTAATTATAATGAAACCTTGCATTAATATTTCCAGAATTATGTACAAAATTCCAAGGAATTTAGACCTTGGCCTTTATGGTTCATACACATGTGATGTAATAGAACGAAAGGAGATGAATTCCGCTCGTGTTCGATCTGTTCGGGTACAGCAACACATTTGAGACCTATTTCCAAAAGCAGCGCACTCGAAACTCACTGGTGTCTCAAACATGTGAATGTTCTCCTCTGCCTCTGCAGTTCCTGATCTCATAATTCACTGGCTTCAGTTTTCTGTTTCTTTTGGGTTCGTGTAGTTTCTTTGTGCGGCCTTCCGGTACAGAAAAAATGTAACTAAAGTTAATCAACTAATGGCAAGGAGATAAAAAGAGTAAAAAAGTAACACCTTATGCATACCTATAAGAATATTTCATAAACTTTATCAGGATTCCCGCGGTTCCAGAAACTCGATAAAGTATGTACAATCATTATCAACATCATGTAAATACTACCAGCATGAAATCAAGACTCGGTAGTGCTTCCTGCGGCGTATTTTGTCTGCATTACTAGACATACAATCATACCAAATGCATGAACAACCAGGACCACAAGAGAATAAATAGTCTAGGAAAAGAAAAGGCGATTAGCCACTCTCACCCGCATAAACATGTCCATGTACGTTCACATATGCTTTTAGTCATTTGCATACAGTACACACATATACACATATTACGTGTACAGTCACAAGCATCATATTGTTACCAAAAAAAGAAACAACATCGATCCTTGTTGTCTGACCTAACCTTTTTATTGGACCCTTTCTCGATTCAATACCAATACATGCCATTATCTCTTCAAGACTCGTAATATTACCAAGGTTATGTTTTAACAGATTGCAACTTCCCATAAAAGCAGCAGACGCGGGCGGTGACAATTTCTTTACCTTATCCTTGACATATTCCATCAGAACAAATGCTGCACAAATCCTCAGCCACGTAATACAAGTCAGAGAATTCCAAGCTGCAGAACATAAATACTCAAACAAAAACATCCTAAAAGTGGACTAGCTATTTGGTAACTTGAAACTTGATAAATGACTCAACAGGTAACATTAAAAGGCATCCCAATCAAGTAGGCGGTTGGAGTACCAACATATAGTGAGGCCTTATCAAATCCCAAACCCGAAACAGTGAAACACCCATGCAAACCAAACTTTATCCCGAATTTGATTTGTACTAGAGGTATGAAACCAAACCTTCCCAAACAAAATAAGCAAAGCCACACCAAATAAAGCAAGAATTTGCTCTTTTCCTCTGCTAATTTCAGTATTTCAAAAACAGAATCATAAAGAGGATTATTCGAAAAGAAGGACGGGCAATTCAAGTGCCCATCCGTAGAACAAGTCCAAGAAAATAAAGCAAGCAGCCACAGCTAGAAGAAATAAAGTTAAGAGAGATATAACACAGATTAATTTCTTGGGGTTGAGATGGAAACCTCAGTAAAAATGCGGTAAAGATGATATTCAAGTGAGAGAGATGAGGGAAAGCCTGGTGGCTGAAAGGAAGTAGCCAATAGGAAGGTATTCCTACTTTGGTGTAATAAAAGAAAGGGAAAGATATTTCGTAGCATAAACTAATCAGGTCAGGTTCAGATATTCAGTTGTCATTCTGAAACATACCTTAAACCGGACCATTGATTCGGTTATCCTTTTTCAACCCCAAACCCATTCCACCACGAAACAAAACTAAAGACAAGTTTCAACACAAATGTAGATGCAGCAATGGAAGATAAGAGAAGTTCATATAACCATCAACCATCAACCATCAACCATCAACCATATTCCGAACTGTATGAAAGTCAAGCCCCGTATTGTGCACTTGTTTAATGACTATAAAAAAGCCGCATATTGAGCTCGGTTTCATTTGATCTTCACTCAGTTGTTAAAAAAAAAAAGGCACAAGTAGCACTTTTCTTAAGCTGAGGACAACATACTTGTTGCCTTTTCTTGAGTCCAGCCTCCGTGCAAGGCAATTACAATATATAATCCATAGATTTTTTGCAAGTGAAAGGCCTGAGGAAAAAACACCAGGATTTACTTTAATTACAAAGTTGACAACCAAAGAATAAATGGCTTATTTGTCCCTCGCCTTATTCTTAGAAAACCTAGACGCAGTAAGAAGCCACATATAGTTCCAGCAAAGAATGTCACCAATTAACAGAAAACATATTTCTGGCTATTGAAATTTGAGATTCATAATAAAGCACATGAGAGAGAAATCAATGAAAGTATACATGTGTGATACAATTTAAGTGACCACTACTAAACAAAAGACGAGCAGAGTTTTCTCCCCGAATCTGATACATTTCCTGAGAAAGAATACTTATGTTGTTGCAACCTCCCTCATAACTGGATAGAATTTAAGTTAAAATGTCATCCTTTTAGCTTTCATTATTTGAGTACATACCGCAATCTCCATGCACTCGGAGATCATAATTAAGAACGTTCATAAGCTTCCGCTTCTGATGAGATGCTAATCAATCAACAACAACAAAGTCTTTTCTCACTAAGTGGTCGGCCATATGAATCCTAGAACGCCATTGCGCTCGGTTCTATGTCATATCCTCTGTTAGATCCAAGTACTCTAAATCTTTTCTTAGGGTCTCTTCCAAAGTCTTCCTAGGTCTTCCTCTACCCCTTCGGCATTGGACCTCTATCCCGTAGTCACATCTTCTAACCGGAGCGTTAGTAGGCCTTCATTGCACATGTCCAAACCACCGTAACCGATTTTCTCTCATCTTTCCTTCAATTTCGGCTACTCCTAATTTACCTCGGATATCCTCATTCCTAATCTTATCCTTTCTCATGTGCCCACACATCCAACGAAGCATCCTCATCTCCGCTACACCCATTTTATGTACGTGTTGATGCTTCACCGCCCAACATTATGTGCTATACAGCATCGCCGGCCTTATTGCTGTCCTATAAAAATTTTCCTTGAGCTTCAGTGGCATACAACAGTCACACAACATGCCTGATGCACTCTTCCACTTCATCCATCTAGCTTGTATTATATGGTTGAGGTCTCCATCTAATTCTCCCTTCTTTTGCAAGATAGATCCTAGGTAGTGAAAATGGTCGCTCTTTAGTACTTCCTCGTCTCCGATCCTCACCCCTAACTCATTTGGGCCTCCATTTGCATTGAACTTGCACTCCATATATTCTATATTTGATCGACTTAGGCGAACCTTTAAATTCCAACACTTCTCTCCAAAGGTTAAGCTTCGCATTTGTCCCTTTGTGAGTTTCATCTATCAACACTATATCGTCTGCGAAAAGCATACACCAAGGAATATTATCTTGAATATGTCCCGTTAACTCATCCATTACCAATGCAAAAAGGTAAGGACTTAAAGATGAGCCTTGATGTAACTCTACAGTTATGGGGAAGCTTTTGGTTTGTCCTTCATGAGTTCTTACGGCAGGCAGTCTTTGCTCCATCATACATATCCTTTATAGCTTGGATATATGCTACTCGTACTCCTTTCTTCTCTAAAACCCTCCAAAGAATGTCTCTTGGGACCCTAACATACGCTTTTTTCAAATCTATAAAGACCATGTGTAAATCCTTTTTCATCTCTCTATATCTTTTCATCAATCTTCGTAAGAGATAGATTACCTCCATGGTTGAGCGCCCTGGCATGAACCCTAATTGGTTGTCCGAGACCCATGTCTCTTGCCTCAATCTATGCTCAATGACTTTCTCCCAGAGCTTCATTGTATGACTCATTAGATTAATACCCCTATAGTTCATACAATTTTGTGCGTCGCCCTTATTCTTGTAGATAGGCACCAAAGTGCTCTTTTGCCACTTATGTGGCATCTTCTTCGTTTTCAAATCCTATTGAAAAGGTCTGTGAGTCATGCTATACCCGTCTCTCCCAAGACTTTCCACACTTCAATCGGTATATCATTTGGACCCACTGTTTTTCTATGCTTCATCTTTTTCAAAGTTACAACCATTTCTTCCTTTCTAATTCGACAGTAAAAGGAGTAGTTTCTACACTTTTCTAAGTTACTCAACTCTCTCAAAGATGTGCTCCTTTCATGTCCTTCGTTGAAAAGATTATGAAAATAACCTCTCCATCTGTCTTTGACTGCGTTCTCTGTAGCAAGAACCTTTCATTCTCATCCTTGATACACCTCACTTGGTTTAGGTCCCTTGTCTTCTTTTCCCTTACTCTAGCTAGTTTATAGATATCCAACTCTCCTTCTTTGGTATTTAGTCGCTTATACATATCGTCATAAGCCGCTAGCTTAGCTTCTCTCACAGCTTTCTTCGCCTCCTGCTTCGTTATTCTATACCTTTCACCGTTTTCATCAGTCCTATCCTTGTATAAGGCTTTACAACAGTCCTTCTTAGCCTTAACCTTTGTTTGTACCTCCTTATTCCACCACCAAGACTCCTTTTGGTGTGGAGCAAAGACCTTGGACTCTCCTAATACGTCTTTTGCTACTTTTCGGATACAACTAGCCATGGAATCCCACATTTGGCTAGCTTCCCCCTCTCTATCCCACACGCATTGGGTGATTACTTTCTCTTTGAAAAATGCTTGTTTTTCTCCTTTTAGATTCCACCATCTAGTCCTTGGGCACTTTAAGGTCTTGTTCTTTTTTCTCTCTCTTTTGATATGTACATCCATCATCAACAAGCAATGTTGATTAGTCAAGCTCTCTCCCGTATAACTTTGCAATCCTTACAAGTTATACGATCCCCCTTCCTCGTTAGAAGAAAATCTATTTGTGTTTTTGACGACCCACTCTTGTAGGTGATCACATGTTCTTCTCTCTTCTTAAAGAAGGTGTTGGCTAAGAAGAGATCATATGCCATTGCAAAATCCAAGATGGTTTCCCCATCCTCGTTTCTCTCCCCAAAACCATGGCCACCATGAAAACCTCCAAAGTTGCCTGTCTCCTTGCCCATATGTCCATTTAAATCTCCTCCTATAAATACCTTATCCGTCTGAGCAATTCCTTGCGCCAAGTCTCCAAGATCTTTCCAAAATTTCTCCTTCAAACTCATATCCAACCCTACTTGAGGTGTGTACGCACTAATCACATTGATGAGATCATGTCCTATTTCAATCTTGATTGCCATAATTCTATCTCCTACCCTCTTGACATCTACAACATCTTGTGTCAAGGTCTTGTACACGACGATGCCAACAATGTTTCTCGTTCTATTTGTGCCCGAATACCAAAGTGTTGGAACACAAGTTTGGAACTTTACATACAATGCAATACAATGAGGTATTTTGCTTCTTTTACAGCTCATATCAAGAGCTTAATTCGAAATTCAACAACAAAAAACATCGAAACAGATAAAGCTATCCGACATACCAAGAGCTCGAAGCACATTGAGATCAAACTTTTGGGCAAGTTCATCGCACCCAATCATTCTTGCACGTTGAAGAACAATCCTTTTTATGCTAATCAACATGTCCTGCCATAAAATTGTGTGTTTAATTCCAATTTTTCGACACCATTAACCATAAAGCTCCAGTCTTTAATCGTCAAATTGTCTACTTTTCTATGCAAAATTTGATATGAACATTGAAAATTAACAAACGAATTCAAAAATTAAATTTAGCAAAAAGATAATAAATCAAGAAATTAAGTTGCTTTAATGATGTAAATAATTCTTACAAGTTCAGACTCATAGAGGGAGCAGAGCCAGTTCACATCTTCAACCCTCTTCTGCCCTAAAACCCCTTCCATCCTCAACCCAAACTGATTCTACTTTCTGGGTACTGCCGTTTCTCCTCAGTGGAGTTGGCACAGGTGATGGGATTTTCCTCAACTCTTTTTTCTTCAGCGCAGTTTCTGGGGTAAAATTGAAAAAACGTGATTTTTTGGGCTTTTCACAAAAGTCCTGAGGTTTCAAAAATTGCACTATGTCACTTGAAGTTTCAAATTATTTTCACAAACTTCCTCCCATTAATTTTTCATTGAAAAGCTGCTGATATCTTATTAAACTAGCATGCCTACACATTTTATGTGTATGAAAACTTTTTGTTTTTATTTCTAAAATGGGAAGTAGAGATGGAGAAACAACGTGGGTGGGAGTTGGAGGTTTTTTTTTTACTTTTTTAATATTAAAAATATTTTAACATCACTTATAGGTGAAGTTTCAATAAAATTTAGTTTTGTAAAATTACTTTATTGCTCATTATTTTTTTGTATGATAGAAAATTAAATAGTCTTTCACTTCATTATTTTTTAATTGACAAAGAGGATTTTATTAATACAAGTAGTTTAGATTACACACTCTCTGCTTCCTACGTTGTATTCATATTTTCACATAAACCCTCATGATTTACAAAGTTTTCACATAGCCCTTGGTAAAAAAAGGGAAAAAACATTATGATACGTTAAAAAATTCAAAAGCTTTCTCGTTTAATAGTATGTAACAATTTGATACTACTAAAACTAAACATATGGTGTTAACTTTTAGCCTGGTGATATCATTTTTTCTTATTTAATAAATCATGGCACGTCATTTTGCAGTTAAGGGTTCATATGAAAGTGTGTTAAACTTTAGGGTGGTTTTATTTTAAAGTTTCAAATCTCAAGGAGCTATATTAAAAACAATAAAGTAGAAGTGGATGTGTGAAAATGCAAAAAGTCTCAAAAGATGTTGATGTAATTAACTTTAAGAATAAATATATCAACTGTAAAACTCTTTTGATGTGGCTCAACAATTTTAGGATGAACATCTAAAGGCCGAGAAATTTTGCGTAATTTTTTTTTAGAGGATTAGGAATTGCATCCACAGCCTTTTTGCTAATTACAATTTAGGCAAAGACGATGTTCTATCCTAATTTAATTGATATACAAGACAATTAAAATTCGAATTCAATGCAACAAGCACGTAATCCTTATCAACTGGTCTAACCCCAAACACTCCCTTATTTATCTTGCAAAACCATTCATGATTCGTTGTGCTTGCAACTCAGTCTCTGCTTCGGCTGCCTATTTAATTGAAACAACAGTTTACCACTGAAACTATCAAGAAACTGAACACACTATATTAAGACAGTGCTTACAAGTTAATGAATAAAAGAATAAGAAGGTGACCAATTTCCACTAGGCTGGGCTGTTTGTCAGTGATCTAAATATTGGACTGCTTGTCACTGATCTGTATATCAACTGTTTCTTGTGGTGCAACTGTTCTTTCAGAACCCGAATTCTCGCGTCAACCCGAGCCGAAACCCCAACCTGAGTCATCTTCATGGAGTTGCTTCTCTCCCTCTCCCACATTTGCTTGTCTGCAACATCTTTCCTGCAGTGCTTCATTTCTTGAATCACATGATCGTCCAACGGATAGAATGACCGTTGGATGACGATGTGAATGAAGTAGGGTAGCAGCGAAACAACCACAACGAATAATGTGACAATCCAATACAACGGTGCAGGGCCAAGAGCTTCGATTAGGACACGAAATCCTCTTTGAGAGTAGGCAGGAGGGAATGCACCGTATACCAACAAGAACACGTACCAGATCATGATGCTACCCCATATGAAAAGATGTTGGATCCAAGTGAACCGGTTGATGATCAGCGCAATCTGGCAATTGACGGTCCAGATTATGCAGGTGTATGTCATGGCACCAAGGTGTGTGATGTCTGCAACTTGGCCATTCTTCTGAAATGCATTAGGGGAGGAAGTGTATATGTTTGCAAGGAATATGACTAGAGAAGCAACCACGCCGTTTACTATCCAACCGATAATCCGGTACCACGTGAAATATATGTTCTTCTGTCCTTGTTGATAAAGAGCTGGAAACTGTTCCATAAAAAATGAAAACAGAAAATCCCATTAAAATTCTCATAGCTTACACGAGAAATTCTTGCAAACAACCGTTGTAGTACAAGAATTATCGCCTTTTCATGTGTATGTGTGTGATTTTCGTTTAGTTTGTTCACCTGGAGGCACACTTCTGATGAAACGTCCTGCTCAAGGACTCCCAATGATATAACAGGTAAAGATGTCAAAATCACATTGAACAAGGCCATATACCAGTCGTCGTAGAAGACCTCCCCTGCAAATCTTGAGTATAACTCGTAGTAGAACAGCGTGAGCCCCAACGCAATGTTCTTGTACACGAAGTAGAGAACCTGGATAGAGGAAAGGGGCTCAGCCTAGCATCAGATAAAGATATCGTCTATTGTCTAAAGTAGGATGGAAGCATTTACCATTTTTGAAATCCTTTTGTAACACCAATGCCCATGAACTATAAGTAATCTCCCCAAAAATCGGAATTGAGGCAATGCTATGTCACTGGCCATGACTGCCTGCATTCCTTCCATGCCACTGATTCCTACTCCAATATCAGCTTCTTGAATCATGCCAACATCATTTGCCCCATCTCCAATTGCCAAGGTTGTTTTCCCAGTATGTTCCTTTACCAATCGCGTAATCTGGAATTCGAAAACACAAAGAATGAATATGCATGAATATTTTCATTGGACTCAAAGCTCTATCTGAATAGACCTACCAAAGCCTTCTGTTTTGGAGAGACGCGGCAGCATATGACAGAAGCGCAATTAACAGCCAATGGTAAGAACTGGTCCTTCACATCACTTCTGAGAGCAATTTCAAGAGCTCTTCCATCTACTACCAAAGCCAAGGGTGCATTATCATTGCCTTCTTCAGACTTCAGTTTGTGAAAACTTTCGAGTTGGTTTAAGATGTCGTCTTTCATCGCCTGGAAACTAGAAAAAACAAAATTTGTGATTACCAACTCAACTTCCATAATATAGTATCATGTTTTCCCTTTTGTTTTTGTCTTTTTTGTTTTTAGTTTTTCTGAGCTATTGGATGGCCAAATTCACATAAAAGTATTCTAATATAACTGCTATCCGAAGCGATCAATTTCCAGTTCCACCTTCGGTTGGTTATTAGTTGGAATAGTTGCAGTTTCTCTACCCAAGCTCAGATGAAATTGCTTCATATCCTGCCGGAGTAAGCTGCAAGCAAATCTGCCAATGCGAATGTGCAAAAAGGAAAGCCAAAGACAAATAATTTAGCTTCCATCAACGCCCTTCTGATTATTTAAGACTTACAAGTACACCAAGTAAATGGTTTTCCACAAGCTTTACCCTATATTTATTGCAGTTTCCTTCTTGTCACCGGTGAGCAGCCATATTTTTATCCCGGCTTGTGCAAGTTTATCTATGCATTCTGGAACCTGATATGTATACACAAAAGAAGACACTATCGACTTTGAGAAAGAGCATGTAAACATACAAAAGCTACACAAACATAGACAAAGACAGATAGCTAACCCCCTTTTGTAGCTTGTCTTCAACAGCAGCAACCCCTAATAAAATCAAATCCTTTTCGATCATTTCAGATGCTTTCTCTAGCACTTCTTCCCTTTCGGGACCTATTGTTGTCTTGGCCACCTTGAATATTGAGTTCCATTGTTCATACTCAGCAGCCTCAAGTTTCCGGTAAGCAAATGCCAGAGTGCGGAATCCATCTTCTGCATAATTGGAAAGATGTAGAGTCGTTGCTTGTTGGTATGACCTTCCATTTTCTGCAAGCCTGTCGAAGATAATGCTGAAAACCAAATTTCATATAAGATACAAGTTAGAGCAAAAAACAACAGATAACACAAGTTTAAGATACCTTTAACATAAAAAGGAAAAAAAACACGGTGTAGAGATCAATGGATAATTTTCGGCGTAGAAAACATACTTGTCTGCACCTTTGCAGAGTAGAATGATTTGACCATCTTCGTCGCTTACTATAACAGACATTCTCTTCCGAGCGCTACAGAACTCTAAAAGGTTCAAAAGTTTGTACTTCCTGAAAATACATTCATATCATCTTTAGGCATTATACTACACAACTTTATATAAGAACATAGTCTCAATCAGTTGCGGAACTTACCTTTCAACCTCCTTTCCCGTGGGAGCATCAAATTCCTTAAGAAACATACTGGACTGACTTCTTCGAAAAAATTGAAATCCAAACTCTTGTGCAGCAACTAGAAAAGATACTTCTTCTGGTGACTCTGCCTCATACTTTAGCTTATGAGTTAGCTCATCCTCCTCAACAGGTATGCCTGTGTGACATAGAGCCATGACTCGAAAGAACATTGTTACATCGGATAAGTTGGATCTGTACATCCACTTTTTGTTCATAAGCCTGCCATCCCTAAAGTTGAAACCCTTGATGGCAAATTCTTCCTCCACATTAGAGATTCTCGAGTTTTCTGCACTTGAATTATTCTGCTCATGTCTTTGTCCACCTAGAATAGCCCTTTCAGTGCTAATGTCACCAACTGAGAACTCAAACATTTCGCAGCTTTGGCTTGCTGTTTCAAACTCATCAATACTAAAACAATATGACTCAACATCAACATTCATCCGTTTAGATGCTGCACGATCGATTTCATTTACATCACCCCCATACGAAATTCCAGCAATAGAGCATTTCCTGAATTCCATCTGGTTACACGTCAAAGTCCCCGTTTTATCAGACAGAATCATCTCCACCTGACCAAGCTCTTCATTTAAATTTGACGTTCGCGTTTGAACTGATTTACATGTAACTTCATCATACAATTTGATGTCCTTGTTAATGAGCATGGCTTGTAAAACTTTGACAACCTCAATGGAAACATAGAGAGAAATGGGGATCAAGTAACCGTACAAAATAAGAGCCCTTATGAATTGTAGGAAACCAGATACCTCAGGCCTTTGTGGTTGAAAAAATGGATCATTATCATCTAGAGAAAGATACCACCACTTAATCATCTCCGTTTTCAAAAACTCTGCAAAACCAATCGAAGTGACCAGCGAAATC